CTAAGCTCTGGCAACACGGTGAAATCACTACAAAGACGTCTGACAGGTCAATAAACAGACTTGTTGTATGCAGATTATCTGAACCACTTCCTGTAGAGGTGAAATGGAAAGTGAGCGCACCTGAAATGTTGCTAATAATCCCACATTGGTCAAAGTTGAAGCAGGAAGTGGATCTGTTAACGGTGGTGGCTGTTTACAACAGTTTGGGTTATAATTTCTCTGTTCGCCTTAATTTATTTGACTAACCTGGACGTTTGTTTCTTGACCTGTCAGACTTCTTGTGAGTGATGTTGCAATGTTTCCAGATCTCAGCCATTGACCCTTCCTAAGTCCCGCCCCTTTCGTAACCTCGGTCAACGGAGAGATATGCTATGAGTCTGTTTTGGAAATGTAAAGAACAGATATCTGTGTAAAAATGTAGGAGGTCAAACTAGTACAATGACAAAGTATTTGCATTAATTAATTAATGAATTTGTTGGTTATCCTCATTGATAGAAATGATCAAAGTGATCTGGATGATTTGACATTTAGATGAAAGTTGCCTTACTCTGAGTTACTAAAGTACAAACCTGAATGTCACAAGCTGTATTTTCCCATGCTGCCTGTGACACAGTGACAAAGATAGTTTGTCTCTCGTCCTCGAAGTAACTTAATTATGGTGTGATAAACGCTTCTGGCTTGACTTAAATGGCTGCTGTGACCATTCTGGTCCTGGATGAATTAGCATTTTAATTCTCTCGGCCTCGCTGAGGTCCAGTGGGGCAACAACCAAAACAACAATTATGGTGAGTGACATGATGTGAGCTCTGAGACATCGTCACTATATAATCATCGACATATTCCCTCATGGCGCATGAACTATTTTAAGTATTTGGAGGCCTTTTCTTGATCTCTTACAGGAAGCTCGGCCTCTTGCTGCAGAACACGTGCATGACCTGGGAACTATGTAAGAAGTCTCAGGAGCATTATTCCTCCGACAGGCCGTAGAGTCCGTTTGGCAGCAGCAAAATGCTTTAAAAGACAGCACTATCAGCCTGACCTGTCTGAGTGCCTGTGATCCAATGTACCTGTCAGCTGGTGTTAAGTGCGTGATACACTGTCCAAAGTTCAGGCTCTTTCAGCTCACTTTGAACACATGAAGTGCGGGTCAGAGCTGCCAATCCATCCACTCCAGTGGCTCAGACTTAAAAAACAGAAGTTTAAACAGGAAACAGGTTTGTTAAAAAGTGCCACTAACATCTGAGACCTAATGCTGGTGGCAGTATCTGTAGTGTCCATGTGTAACCTCAGATTATCAGCTGTCTTACTCCCTCTGCTGGACACTGGCGGTCCACACAGCTGCAGGTCAGAAGCAGGAGAGAGGAAAGTGTCATAAAACTGTGTCCTAACACCTTTTCCACAGCAACTATTTTGACATGAAATAGTGGCATAAACACAGGAGTTACCAATTATACTAATTAAATTAGTTAGTTAGGTTCCAGTGAAACATCTTGCACAATAGCAGCACCTGAATGCTGGTTTAACAGGTTCAATTTAAGACTTTTTAAGAGCATTATGAGTGCAATTTAAGACCTATTTTACGTCCATACTGACACATAAACAAACACAAAAAATAACAATAAAAAGTTAAAGGATTATAAAACAAAAAAAGCTCTAAATAGAGAAAACCTGGAGTTTATTTTTTATTTTAAGTTACCTACTGCAGCTTTAAACTTTATCTGCCACTCATTATTGTACCAGGAGACTCTTTCTGTATCACATAATAAATGTCTGGAGGGGATCTTTAAATAATAAACTAAACTTTAACAATACTGAGATAAAGGCACTACAACCACTTAAAATCAAGAAGGCCTTGCGACACCCTGTGAAGCTTCAGCGACCCCTAGTGGGGGTCACGAGCCCCAGTTGGGGAACCACTGCTGTAGAAGACATTTTGAAATTCCAATGTGGGTATTAGTGGGTTAAATAACAAAGTAAAACAAATGGCAGATGACAAATAGATCGATTTTTAATGTGCTTGTGTGTCTTTATCTGACATTTTCCTCCTCACACAGCTCAGGCTCACTCGTCTGTAGTGGAGTTCTCTCTAATGGGCTCCATACTGACCAGTTGGAGATGATTATTTGGAGAAACAGGACACTGGGCTTGGATCAAAACAGCTGAACGTGGGCACACGTTACAGGTCTGGGCATGCATGTAGACGTCCGAACGAGGGATACAGAAATGTGTGTGTGTGAAAGAGAGAGGGATACAGTTTATGCATGTGCCTTTTGATCAGTGCCTAAACTTGAGGCTATGAGGAATGTTTCTTTTTCTCCTTTGAAGGCAGTTTGAGTTTTCTGTAATAGTTTTGGTTCAGCTGGGGCCTGTGTGTGTGTGTTTGTGTGAGTGTGTGTTGAGCTTGGTATAAATGGGGGCGAGCTCTGAAATGAATATCATTGTCACATCTCGTGCCAGAGCAAATTCCCCCGTCCAAAACGAGCAATTTAGAGCCAACGCCTGCCGTGGAAAATCTGCCTTCAATTTTCCTCCACTGGTGGCTGTGCATGCGCTCGCCCCTCCGACTCTCATTCACACACACACACATTGAGCAAACCAAAGGCCGAGCTTCCTCCCTCACACACACACTAACTCGCAGATCTAGTTGGCCTGCAGCGAGTGGACCCCACAGTTTATTTTTTTCTCAATTATCCATTTAGTGTAAGTGGCAGGCGCCTGATGGGCTCCACGCCGAGAGGAAATGTTTGTATTGTCCTCATTTAACAATGGCGTTTAAACTAATACCTGATTAGTGAGAGTGAGTCACCGCTGAGAAATAGATTTTTGAGACAGCTGGCTCTGACGCCGATCTGTTTCTTTGTTTTTCTAGTTCCAGTAATCGCCTCATACCATCACAACTTCTACCCTGAGACTGTTTTCACTTTGATGAGCTGTTGGAGTGCTTTTTTAGAGACTTCTGTATCTGTACTCATAAATTCTGAGCAATATATGAGCCTTGGCTGCATTTTCTGTATTTACAAGATGGAGAGCAATGTTGGAATATATATGCTGAGCACATATGTGTGCGAATATGATCACTGTTAGAGACTCATGTAGTAGAATTAATGAGGATCTGTGATTAACATACAAAAGAAAAATTTTCCCCCCAATGTGGCCCTCCTCCAGACACCAAAAGGCAAAAAATCTGCATCTTTCATATATTATTGTTTAACTTAAAGCTATAATCTGTAACATTTTTGCATTAAATCAATAATCTATCATCGTTATGTAGTTGAGTTGTGTTTTTACATTATCCCAATTCAAAATGTTTGCCAACAGATGTTCAAACGAAATCTGTCATTTTATTCAGGTAACGCTGCGTTTCACCGGGTCGGCCTGCTCGATTGAGCGCTTCATATCCCCTGTTGTGCCTGCGTCAGGCGGTTGTGGTTGTTGCCAAGAAGCTGTCATACATTGACTGTTACCAGTCTGGAAAAGCCACATTCTTTTTACATCCACTGTTCTAAGGGATCATTGGTGCTTTTTAACTCTAGATTTGAACCGGATGAAGGATTTAGTCATCGGACGTTCTGGATCTTAAGTTGATCAGAGAACGGAGCTGAGCTAACGTTAGCAGTCAGCTCGCGCTCGCAGACTTTGGGAGAACAGTGATTTTTTAAGGTGGAACTGCTTATTCAGTTGTTTGAGTGGTTTTAATCAGGTCTGTTTGTTTTGAGAGAGAGACGCTCTGTGGATAATTGGGCTCCTGGTTAGA